TGCGACGTAATGTTTTTGATAGTCGCCCTTAGATTTTGCGCGGGTAGGCACCACCGCGCTGCCTATTTCTGCCGTGAAGCAGTAATGCGTTTCGGTTTGAAGGGCGGAGCAGCCGTTGTAGCTATACTGAGATCTTAGAACTTATATCTCAAGGTGGGTGGCGCATTTACGTTGTAAATGTCTATGGGCTCCAGTAACCGCTTAACACCAGGTGGGCTGTGAGCTCGTCCAGCCATCTAAGGAATAAAAAAAAAAGATACGATCCACTGAGTTTTTCGCCGAATTTTCTCAGTAGATCCGATCTGGTGGTAGATCCAGCGGTAGATACACTGCTCTTGCTAGGGCTAATGTTAGCAGCTCTTTGGAGCCCCGTCAGCTCACCTACTCGTTTAGTCATTTAGTATGCCCTCCAAGATCACTAGGATAAAATTTAAAAGAAATATTAAAAGAAGAATAAGGCTTAAAGACTTTTAAAAGCATTTATAGTTTCTAAGATCCTAAATATGTCGACGTGTGTAAGTGAAAATTTCGTAACTTGCATTTTAGGCTTAAACACTTTTTACAATATTCTTGTATAAAAAAAAATACTAATACTAATAATAGTCCGTATCTCGTTTTCCTACGATTAAATTTTTCATCAAATTTCACACCAATTTGTCAACTTTATATCTCTATAAATAAATATAATATGAGGTGTGATTTTTTTCGAAATATTTTTTTTTGGTTTGGTGTAAAGTTGGATTTTTCAAGTTACGACAATTCTGTTTTCTACCATCAATTTCTAATCGTTTTCATGATAAGATTTGATTAATTTTAAAATGAGCAGTCCAAAATCGAACCCGCGATTCGCAAAGCATTGTGCTCATTAATCCTAAGGCGTTTTATTACAAAACTTGTACATTCCGTAAGTTAGTTTTGTTCTCTCGTTCCGGCTTAGCCGAAATGTGAAGGGCTCGAAAGAGACGGAGAATTCCACACATGGCACATGCCGATAATGAATACAGCCATTTCGAATTTTTGTTAAGGCCCATACATTCGCTTCAAGAAAAATAATGACTCAATATAATTAATAAATTAGGTGAATTTAATGTACAATAGAGGTCCCGCAGTAGTCGAAATTCGACTATAATTAATTGGAATTGTAAGTTTGTACACTATTATGATTGTATTTTATACTTCTATAATCACAAATTTCGCCAAGACTACACTATAAAAAATAATAACAAAGACAAACAATATTTAAACTATTCTCAATTTGACAACAGACGCCAAGAACAAAAGTTTGACAATAAATAGTATGCATGCGTGTGTGCGTCAAATACATGGTATGTAGTGTGCGTAATGTTTTCTTTATTGATTTAATGTATCTTTTATGCATTCTTTAAAAAAAATATTAGCATTGTGCACTTCTTCTCTATATTCTCTATAAGTGTGGAAAATTTCATACTCCTCCGTTAGCGCAATTTTCGTAAAAAGGGATACAAAGTTTTTGCTTCACGTATTAATATATAGATACTCATTGTATTGTAGTTTTCTTCATTTTTCATCCTTAAATCAAATTGATCTTGTAATAGGGAATGCTGTGTATAAGAGAAACGATATAGGTTGCTTTGTCCTCTCTCTCTCTCCACGGTCGAGTGGTTCGCGAGACGCTCTGTCTATTCTCTCACTCTCTCTCTTGATAATTTGTATCTTTCCTCTCTAGCCGTAACGAATCTGTCGTGAGTTAAATTTTACTCTCGACTCGCCTAAAGAAGTTTCACTTCAAAAATTACTTCATCGTGAAAGTCGTCCGTGAAGTGTGTTTGAAAGTCGCAGTGACCTAAAGAATAAGACGTCCGGTGCATTCGTATGTAGCAATGCACCGGTGTTCGAATCCCGCAGGCGGGTACCGATTTTTCTAATGAAATACGTACTTAACAAATGTTCACGATTGACTTCCACGGTGAAGGAATAACATCGTGTAATAAAATCAAACCCGAAAAATTGTAATTTGCATAATTAGTGATGATAGGACCTCTTGTGAGTCCGCGCGGGTAGGTACCACCACCCTGCCTATTTCAGCCGTGAAGCAGTAATGCGTTTCGGTTTGAGGGGTGGGGCAGCCGTTGTTCTGAGACCCTATAACTCATATCTCAAGGTGGGTGGCGGCATTTACATTGTAGATGTCTATGGGCTCCGGTAACTACTTAACACCAGGTGGGCCGTGAGCTCGTCCACCCATCTAACCAATAAAAAGAGCACAAACAATACGAGCTCATAAATTAGAACACGGCTCCTCCTTAAATGTTTGGTGCATGTACTGGTCTTAATCTCAATTCTCGAAAGTTCGGGTCAGCAATTAATGAACTTTGATAATAAAATCGAAACTAATTAAGAAACATTTGAGGCCCGTTGTGCTTTGACGTTTCATATGGTTTACCTAATTTAGTTATTTGTAACGGAATTTAATTTGAATTTGTATGAATTTAAAATTAACCAGAGCAGTTTAGTGTGAGCTTTCTTTCTTTCTTTTTTTTTCTACCTATCCTGATAGCCTTGAGAGGCTATTTCAGCTTCACCGTAACGTGTGTAGGTGAGCTCACGGGGCTCCAACCGGAGTCTTGCTAACACTGACCCTAGCAAAAGTAGTGCTTCGCAGAATCTACCACCGGATCGGAAACGCGACCCACTGAGAAGATCCGGCGAGAAACTCAGTGGGCTGTGTCTGAGGGTTAATTCGCTCGTCGAGCCCTTCGTCGCAAGCGACGGGTTCGACGAGGACGGTGACTAGAAACTTTCTTTCACTTTGGTTACTGTTGTCCCACGGGGGATACAGCAAAAATAGTTTTAAATTAACACACACATAATACTTTTTTCCTGTTCAATTACGCCACAAGGCAATGTGAGTTGATAAATATTGTTTTTATTGGCATTGTAGGCAGACGTGCATACGGCCCACCTGATGGTGAGTGGTTACCGTCGCCCATGGATTTCAGCAATGTCAGGAGCAGAGCCAAGCCGCTGCCTACCGGCTATTTAGGTGCTTACTACCTGAATAGCCGGTAGACTATTTAGGTACTTACCACCTGAGATGTTTTTTTTTTGTGTATCGCCAATAGCTCTTCTATGACGTGTTTTAGGATTAGCGGTAGGCAGCGGCTTGGCTCTGCCCCTGGCATTGCTGAAGTCCACGGGCGACGGTAACCACTCACCATCAGGCGGGCCGTACGCTCGTCTGCCTACAAAGGCAATAAAAAAAACAAAACATTCTTTCTGGGACACCCTGTATATCGGTGGTTTATGGACGAGACACGGTGTTAGGTGAAAATCTTTTTTCGATCCAATGCAAACGTAAAATAATTCGTCCTAAGTCGCATACTTTGTTATTAGGTGTCCGCTAATGCCCACATTAACTTGGTCTCAATTTACCAATGTAAATTGAAAGCTCTCTCGGCCACCTGAGGTCTGTGCCGAGTTAATTTACAGCAACGGGTTAATAAGCGGCGAAGCGGTCGCGGATTCCGCCTTCCGGACCAGGCCCTAATGGCCGTTGTTGTCGCCGAGCGATTTGCGATTTAATATTCAGTGAATGCCTAATTTGAAAGTTTGCGCTCGTGCGAAAAGCGTTGGCCGAAGCTACTTTTGATTTAGGGTTTATTAAAATGAAAATATAGTTTTATTTATTTACTAGCCGTAATCGCCCACTCCGCTGGGCATTTAAAATTAACATTATTTATTGTCATTATTATTAGGAATCCAACACTCATATAATTATTAGCACTAGAGGTCCCGAGGTAGTCGAAATTCGACTATAATTAATTGGAATTGTAAGTTTGTACACTATTATGATTGTATTTTATACTTCTATAATCACAAATTTCGCCAAGACTACACTATAAAAAATATTAGTAAAGACAAACAATATTTAATATATTCTCAATTTGACAACAGACGTCAAGAGCAAAAGTTTGACAATAAATAGTATGCATGCGTGTGTGCGTCAAATACATGGTATGTAGTGTGTGTAATGTTTTCTTTATTGATTTAATGTACATTTTATGCATTATTTAAAAAAAATATTAGCATTGTGCACTTCTTCTCTATATTCTCTATAAGTGTGGAAAATTTCATACTCTTCCGTCTGCGCAATTTTCGTAAAAAGGGATACAAAGTGTTTGCTTCACGTATTAATATATAGATATTCATTAAGTAAATGTATTTTCTACATGGATACCAAGTTTCAAGTCAATCGGATGTACGGTTCAGTAGTTTTATCGGAACATCCGTAAAAACCACTGTAGATTTATATATTAGTATAGATTGCTTAGATGGATGAATGAACTCAGGGTCCACCTGGTGTTAAGCGTTTACCGGAGCCCGTGGACATCTACAACGTAAATGCCGCCACCCACCTTGAGATATGAGCAGTAAGGTCTTAGTTATTACCGTACAACGGCTGCCCCACCCTTCAAACCGAAACGCATTACTGCTTCACGGCAGAAATAGTCAGGGTGGTGGTACCTACCCGCGCGGACTCACAAGACGTCCTACCACCAGTAATTACGCAAATTATAATTTTGCGGATTTTTTTTATTATTTTTGTTACATCATGTTTTTCCGTCACCGTGGAAGTCAAGCGTAAACATATGTTAAGTACGTATTTTATTAGAAAAATTTAATTGGAAGTAGATGAGAGATGACGAAAACTGGGATCAGTGACGTAAATTGCGAGAGGCTTATGCTCAGCGATGATCATATGTCGATTGATGACAATTAAATCAAATGATAAAAGAAATGTCGTTTTTTTTTTTTAGTGAAGTGATCGAGTTATCAAGTATGTAGAGTCCGTAGACATCTCAACGGAAATACCACCACATGCGTACCCTGGAATACAAAGTTATAGTCACTATTTATATCGTATAGACTGTCCCATCATAAACACTACTAGGACACGAAAAATTAATCTAATGAAGTGCATACGCAATTCACTCTTTTTGTCTTTATCGATTTAATTTCAGAATGATCTAGAAGGCTTCGCGTCAAATTCCCTATCGAACATTCTAGATGAATACAAAGTTAGCGAAATTCAGAACAGCGAACGTCTTAAAGGTAACTAACGGTTTGAATATTTATGAACGGTATGTTGTCTGAAGTCGTCGCGGCCTAAAGGATAAGACGGCCGATGCATTGGTACTAAGGGATGCCACTGTACCGGTGTTCGAATCCCGCAAGCGGCTACCAATTTTTCTAATGAAATACGTACTGGACAAATGTTCACGATTGACTTCTACGGTGAAGGAATAAATAACATCGTGTAATAAAAATCAAACCCGCAAAATTATAATTTGCGTAATCACTGGTGGTAGGATGTCTTATGAGCCGGACGGATAGGTCCCACCGCTTTGCCTAAGGATGGAGCAATAGTTGTACTATAAAAATTGAGACTTAGAACTCATGTTTCAAGATGATGGTGGTGGGATTTACGTGGTTCATATCTATGGGCTCCGGTAGCCTCTTAACACCAAGTTATCCGTGAGCTCCTTCACCCATAAGATGATGATGTTAACGTAGTACCGTTGTAAGCATGCTCCAACCTAACAGCAAGTGAAACATTAATTTGTCGGCCCATTGACCCGTGCAGCCAAAAATATTACTCATTTCAGTTGGAACCATTACCAACCGTTTGGTAATTAAAAGATAGCAATATACCGTAGATAGCAACGTTAATGACCACATAGAATTTAGCACGAAATAGAAAGTATACTTGTGCGAAAATGCTCTTTATTATGTGTATCTCACAAAAGGTGAAAAGGTAAAGGTATTTTTTTAAACTTCACCCTGCGACTCCTTTTTTTTTTTAACGCTGGGGAATTCATTTACGGATACTCGGTCCGGGGGGGTAACGAACCGGGTTATGTCGGACTTGGGCGCCTCCTGAGAGGAAGAGGGGGACAAGAAGGTCCTCCACCTCCCCGAATTCCTCGCAAGAGACTACGCCTTGAAAAAGGCGCGCGAAGCACTTGCCCCGCAGAACGACTACCGACTAAACCCCATCGAGCTCCACCACACCGGCTACACCAGACCTACGGTACCACAGTGCGCGCCGAAAGTCCGCCTTCGCCGGTACCCGTCCTGATGATAAGACGGAATTTCATCTCCGGGAAAATCCCGAAGGACGTCATTTCGGGAGATACACCGTGGGCGGCGCACAGGAGACACCTTGCACCGCCCCACCACCGGATCGACAGTCGAGTACCGGGCGCCCCCGCACCCGCCACCTGATAGTCCCTACGGGGGCTGAGCGGGAGCTTCACGCCCGCGCCGGCCATCCCGCCTTCTGCGCTGAGGTACTGAAGAAGGATTCCCACTCCCTTTCACGCTCCTCAGCCTCACGGGACGCCATTACCAGGTCACAAAACCTGGCCATGGCCTCCCACGAGCCCTGATCCTCTAACATGCGGGCGACGACAGCCCGCAGGGAGAGGTTTCTCCCCAGCACCGCGACGAGATCTCGCCGCGAGTGCTCCCAACGCGGGCACGTTTTGAGCGCGTGCTGCGCGTCATCGTCCGGGTGCCCGCACTGGTGGCAGCCCGGATGTGGCTCTCTCCTGCAGACCTTCCACAGGTACCTCCCGAAACAGCCATGTCCCGAGAGGACCTGCGCAAGGTGAAAGGAGAGTACGCCGTGACGCCGATCCGACCATGCCTCCAGCACGGGCACCAGGGCCTCGAGAGTGCGCCGGCGGGTGGCCGAAGTTTGGCCAAGTTCCTTCAGCAATCGCTCTCTCCACTTAGCGTATGCTACATGACGCGCAGCACGCTTCCACCGACCGACAGCCGACGAGCAACCAACCCTGCGACTCCTGCAATTATCCAAGCACTGTACACCAAGCTGGATGTATGGTGTAATAATATAATAATACCGTGCGCCAAGCCTCAGTTCGTGAAATATGGAGAACAGCCGTCAAGGCTTTAATTAACAATGACTCCACGACTACTCTGCCAAGAGTAACCGACTATGATGATACAACAAGCTTGCAAAAGTAATATTGATGAGCTTTGAAAATTTCAGACTTCTACAGGAAATTGATGGAAACAGAATCACAGATACAACAACTGAAAAAATCAAACGACATTAACTATAACGCTAACATTTTGAATGGGCATAATGCTGAGAGATTTAAAAGATCGCCCAAGCTCTTTGGATTTTATAACAAGCACAGTAAAGTTAAAGATTCAAAAGATAACGCAGGCATCAAAAAAGCGAAAGATACAGGCCAAGAGAAAAATGAAAATATCACCGTCAATAGTGAAGTTACAAAAGATAAAAGATTAAAGAATGATAGTGTAACTGAGCCCACTGTTTTAGAGAATAATAGGAAAGAAGATTATGTTCCAAACAGGAAGGTAGCTAAGTGCTCGCACACGCCCAAGGAAAGTGACGCCCACGAGAAATACAATAAACATCCGTTTTACCAACACACGCAAAAGTTGGAAGACATATTGGAACAAATATTGGGCAAAAACTTTGAGGATGTATTTTCTAATCAAAATGTTGGCGCATTGTTCGAAAAGCATAAGGACAAATGTAGACACGGTAAAGGGAAAAATATGGAGGACAAGGTACTTGATGACTTTTTAAATTCCCTTAGCTAGGTAGGTAGGTAGTCAGGTAGGTAGACAGCGGCTTGGCTCTGCCCCTGGCATTGCTGAAGTCCATGGGCGACGATAACCATTCACCATCAGGTGAGCTGTATGCTCGTCTGCCTACAAGGGCAATAAAAAAAAGCTAATTCAAAAACTTGTTTCAACCTAATAACCGAAGTTTTTCCATAATCTCTGAAGCCTCAAAATTAGAATATCCTCTGTTTCTTTTTGTAATTTTTTCTTTTGAAGGCGAGTAATAATAATTACTGTTCTGGTATTTTTCGATAATTCGTCAATGGCGACTAAATAAAATGTAATATACGCCCCACCATATTGTCAGGGAGTTCTTTGTAGGCCTTTGTTTGTTGTCATACAATAATGGTTTCAGCATAAAACAATGAAAGAAAATACTCCAAACAAATTGGAAATTAATACGGAAGACATTAAAGATGAATTCACTACAGCCAATATAGATGATTTAAAAACTAACGACCCTCTGTAAGTTAATTCAAAGATTGGGCTAATTTATTTTTAGTTTTATTACAAATAGTACAAACAATTTGTAAGGTTTTAAGGGCTGCATAAGAATAACATTGTATAATTGAAATAAAATCCGCAAAGTGTATGTGTTATTGGAACGAAGTTCCTTACGGCAGGCTTGGAGGGGATAGGGATTTTGCTGCGCGACCGAACTGGAAAAAATGTGATAGTAAAACCGTAAGAAAAAATCCGTGGAAAAAAGTGCGTGGAATAAAACCGTTAAATGAGACGTGCGCAGGCGCGACAGTCGCATACACAAGCGAGTAGTGTATAATACCTTTCTCTTTCTCCTTCTTTCTTTTCGTTCTCTAATCCCTTCTCTCTCTATTTAGTTATTATTTCTATTTCTATGTAATTTTATGTTGTCAACCAAAAATAAAGAGATATATTTTGTTATTTTAATTGATAATTTGAATTACTAAATTTTTTATTTTACGTAATTTATTATTTCCTAAAATACTGAATTTCCTAAATACTTTCCCGTACTTAAATAAAAACTAATCAGCAAAATTTAAGAGAAAAACCAAGAAAACCTACATAAAATTGAGCACCATTTCTTTTTTTTGCAAATTGTGTCGATTCTACATTAGCCGAAGGAACTTCGTTCCTACCTGGTGTCCCACGACACCACATATTATTTAGGTTGGACGAAATATAAGCCCATACGAGACAATACTGAATTACTGGCTAACTATGCCGTGAAATAGGATAATTAAATTTCGGCTTTTGTTTCAATGTTGGGTGGTATTAGTCAGACGAACCATGACTTGTATGATTCATCTGCAATTATGCATAATAAATTTAGTTTAAATACTGTTACCATAGCAAATCAAACTAACAATTTATTTAATATGTTTCTTAATGATACCACTGATCAGGATATCAGAGCGAAGTTATTAATTATGATATCGTCATAGGTCCTCGGTGCGTATACAAACAAGTCTTCAAGTGACTTCAATCTTGATGTTGGTGAAAAAATTACTTTTGCTGCATACAAATAAACATACATAGATACCAAGCTAACAAAAGCGTATTATCATAATTCGATCCGCAAACAAAGCTCAATGAGTTTCTCGCTGGATCTTCTCAGTGGGTCGCGATTCCGATTCGGTGGTAGATTCAGCGAAGCAATTTTTTTTTATTGCTTAATTGGGTGGACGAGGTCACAGCCCACCTGATATTAAGTGGTTACTGGAGCCCATAGACATCTACAACGTAAATGCGCCACCCACCTTGAGATATAAGTTCTAAGGTCTCAGTATGGTTAGAACGGCTGCCCCACCCTTCAAACCGAAACGCATTACTGCTTCACGGCAGAAATAGGCGGGGCGGTGGTACCTATCCGTGCGGACTCATAAGAGGTCCTCTTGTTAGGGCAGATGTTAGCAAAGTCTTCCAGGCTGAACCCCTTGAGCTCGTCTATCGGTTCGGTGAAGTTATAATAACTCCTTAAGGTCACTAGTCATAGGAAGGAACAAAAAAAAACCGATTCACGGATTTATCTATTGAAAGTTCAGGGTATCTTTATTTTTTGTAGAAATTTAAGATTTGATCGAAATCTTATTCACAATCCTATACATACCAGTAAAGGTAGCAGACGATTGTTGCAAGTAAATGACAATGAGAACTTGGAATATCCGCTACTGAAAGATACTAGCAATGGCCATGTTGCTAATGCTGAAAAATCTGCGGATAAAGTGAAAAGGGACGAGGTAGTTAAAATGTTGTTAATTTGATACCTATTTTTAATGTTAGTTTCTAGGACAGTGTGGGCCAAAATGTCGGTCATTGTCAGTGTCTGTGGAATGTGGATACTACTTTTATATAAGCTTACTGGCTTAGGTGACGAAGAAATGAAAATCCGCGAAGCCAGCTTGCGTTTTTAATTTTAAAGGCTTAACAGCCCCCTTGTATGGTATATTATAAAAGACCAAAGATAAAATCCCAATAATACTTGGACGTAAGTTACAAGCCATTGTAACAGCTGCTGTCCAACTTTGCAGAAAGGAAGATCCAAAGTTATCACCAGTAAAAGATGTAATCAGTACAAATAGCTGGGTAGAATTTCCCGTAAATTTATCTAGCTAATGATTTTTGATCCAGTATACTCTAGTTTTATTTTCAAAATTGAACATACTTAAAATTTAACTATGAAAAATCATCATCATGGAATCTCGGACTCGGTAGTACAGTAGTTAGCGGCCTTATCTGTTGTACTGAGGGTCGTGGGTTCAATTCCCACATCAAACACTTGTGTGATGACCATCTATAAGTATGTATGTCAGTCTCTGGTGCCCATAGCACAGGGAAACCTAATTTTGGGCCAGATGATCGTGCGTGATTTATTAGTTGTTATGAATTATTTATTTATGGAACCGTTTCGTATGTATGAAATTATGAATTCTCCCCAAATCAGGATCTCCAAAACAGAAACATCTTTCATCCGTTAAACGTAAACAATCCTAATTGGAAAGGTCCCATGCCATTGTATCAGGACGAAATAAACGCGATGGTAAAACAAGCTGCTTTGAACGCTAGGCAAACTGTTCTGACAAACAACAATGTTGAAGTAGACGCTCCTCTTAACACTAAAGAAGTGAGACCAAAAATAAATGACGAAGAACGAAGCTTAAGTGACGCGGAATATATAGAGGATTACTTCAATGACAAATATGATAGCTTAGTCGGTGTTGCTCAAGCTTATAGTGATTATGGAGTACTCAATTCCAAGAAAGAGACTACTGATAAGAACGGCGACAAGAATTTGGACCCCAAAGTGATGTTGCTAGATAAAGGTTTGCTGAAACGTGGACTGTTTGGAAGATTAGAAAAGTGTTGGTAATATTTTGTGTATTTGTAAAAAATATTGATACGTTTGCGCATTTATTGAGTGTAAGTCGTAGTGTGAGCCTAAACTGGGATAGGTATTGTTGACTGTTTCCACCTAGAAGCAGTAATGCATTTTGATGCCAAAGGCAAGTCGTTTTATAACACATACTTGAGATTCACTCCCCATGTCTCCAAGGTAACTGGTGGAATATACGATACAAAATATCGAACAATAAATCAGCTCATGTATCCGTCTAATGCAATTAAATATTGAGTCTCTCCTAAGAAATAATATTATGTTTGAAAGCATCGCTAAAATTGCTCTAATTTCCAATAACTTGCATACTCAGGTACAGATCACCAACCGTCGGAGGGAATCAGAATCGAATTCAAACCAACGTCTGAAACAAGAGATGATGATCCGGCGGAAATCTACAGGCTACTTCACAAACATATTCACTTTTCGAACGAAAAAGATTTAAAATTACCTCCTCATTTGACATTACCCGCTTCCGATTTAGGGCTAATGTATACCCCTATAAAATGTGATAAACTTGATGATCTGAAAAAAAATGATGACCATAAAATGCCGGAACAGGAAAAGGGTATTATTTTTACTTTGAGTAATGGCGTGCGATCTTTGAAGTCTGTAGATGATCTGAACTACTCTGAACCCATGGGACATACTGTAGAAGAAAACGGAAATGAACATGATTTGATAACTAATTTTGATATAAATATTAAAAACGAAGATGCTTTAAATTACAGAACGAAGCCTTATTTATCTGAAAATGAAAAAGCGGCACATGTTGATTTAGTGAAAAATGATGTTAGATATAAAAGAGAACTGACTAATGAAAATGTTGATTTAAATAATAACACTAATGCCAAATCGAGATTAGCTTTAAATACAACAAATGTAACAGATCTGGTTAACTCTGATGTTGACTTAAATACTGAAAGAAATATCACGGTGAATACTGTGAACGGACTTGTTAATTCCACTGCAGGAATGGGTCTAAGAGATTTGTTTTCTGTGTTTTCCGAATTCTTCAGTTTCATGGAGAGTATGGATGGAAAAAATAACCAATCAGAATTAAATGGGTCAGTAAAAAGTTATCTATGAACATTTAATTAGTGTTTCTTCGTATATCTGCTCTGTCTTCATAAGCCATTCATACGACTGTGATGATTTTTTTTTAATTTTTTTTTTATTGCTTAGATGTTTGGACAAGCTCACAGCCCACCTGGTGTTAAGTGGTTACTGGAGCCCATAGACATCTACAGCGTAAATGCGCCACACACCTTGAGATATAAGTTCTAAGATCTCAGTATATTTACAACGGCTGCCCCACCCTTCAAACCGAAACGCATTATTGCTTCACGGCAGAAATAGGCGGGCGGTGGTACCTACCCGTGCGGACTCACAAGAGGTCCTACCACTAGTAAAAATTATGCTATTGCAATTGAAAATAATAAGTGTTTCTATTTGTTTTGTTTTTCAGAACAAACTTGACTATAAAATCTACTAACGGTACAGATGATAAAATGAAAAGTGACGCTTTATATTATCCGACATACGACGCGGATATTCTTAAGAATATTGGTCACCGATCTAGAGTTTTAATGTCGGTAAACGAAAATAATTTAACACGGAATACTGACAATGCTATTAATAAAACAATTGTCAGAAAAAAAAAAAAATTAAACGCTTCAGGTATAAAAATAATTATTTAAAATTCAATCATTAATTTAAAATATTTCATTGGAATTGAAATGAAATACGAGAGTCAACAGTAGGCGGCTTTGCTTAAGACGAAAGGAATTACTGTGTCTGAAATGTGTGAATGAAAATATATTTTTTGCAGATCCTAATATAAGCAGCGAAAAAGAAGTTACTTTAAAAAATAACGATTTTAAAATTCCTATAAATGGAAATAGGAGCACGGACGGTGATATGCGTTTATCGCCTGATAAAGAAAAGGACAATATACGCAAAAGAAGTATAAATGAACGTAAAATGTATTGGAATGAAATATACGACGATGAATATGGTGTTAAGGATGATCTTTTCGAAAATGGCGTCAGAGACAAACATTCGATTGACGTTAAAAACATTGTGAAGTCATCAAAAGATTGGATAGATGATAAAGTACGGAAGATCGTGAGCGGTTTTAAAGTAAGGAAACAAGAGAATCCGATTGGGACAGAAGACAAAGAGGCTAAGAATTCTCATGAGTTAGTAGTAACTAAATGTCATTTATAGTATTTGTCAAGTTGGTACAAACAGGTAACTTCTTTAGAATCGTTGTGATTTCAAACCGGATGCAACGGAAAAAACGACAGGTAAGAGACACAAATACAAAAATGTGTAGGATGAAGCCAGCAAAGAATGAGACAGAAATATACATACTATTTAATACAGCGCCATCTGTGAGATTTTTTAATACTAACGTGTGTATGAAAGCTCTTGTAGTGAATTTTAATTTANAGAGACACAAATACAAAAATGTGTAGGATGAAGCCAGCAAAGAATGAGACAGAAATATACATACTATTTAATACAGCGCCATCTGTGAGATTTTTTAATACTAACGTGTGTATGAAAGCTCTTGTAGTGAATTTTAATTTAGGATTATACGTGAAATTAAAATATCAATTCACAGAGGGCGCTACCTTACAATTATTTACTAATGACATAAATTTACATATACTTAAGACGTTTAGGATAATTGTATTTTAATTTTGGAAGGTTTCACTTCTACCACGTGTGAATTGCACACATTTTGTTTTTTTTTTCATGGTTTCTGAAGCGGTAGTTTCTGGCATAGTACCATCACGGGTACCCGAGGCTTTTTTAACAAATCACCGTGATTTAAATTTAGCGATATATCCTTGTAGAATTTTAGAAACACATTATTATATAGCGGATTTAATAAGTATGAATGTGAGATAAATGTTTTTTTTAGGAACGTTAGAGTCAAAACAACTGTCAAGAAACACGTGAAAAGAGATTTACATAAAGAAGAGGTCAGTATGGTTTCTAAAAAAGTTGATTTAAGAAAAATCTAATCTTCGAGCGAATCAAAGAATAAGAATCACTCTTTTTGTGACCATAATAGTAGTTAGTCACTGACCTATTACAAGCCAGGATTTAAAGAGAGCTCACGGCCTATCTGATGTTCAAATAGCCAGGGTCCATTGGTAATTCCAAAGTGTTCCGAAGTGAAGGTCCAAAGATAATTTCGCTAACCACCTTAAGATATGAGGTGGATGTCACCCTTTAAGCTGGAACGCATGGGTGCTTCGTATATACTTCTGGTAGTACCCCAACCACCTCTTTTGATACGAAATAATGAATTTTATTTATTTAATAAATGACTCCTGCATTAAAGTTGCCGGTGGAAACAATTTAGTTACGTTAATATTCCTTTGGACAATTATGTATTTGAACCTTGGTATATTTGGACTGCTCAATACGGCCACAAGGGCCTTACTTCCGCGCAGATGGACCCCACTGCTCAAAAAGCAGCACGAACTTCTATTCTCTATCTCTATTATTTATCTCTATCTATCTGCGAATATCTCTAGGTAAATAGCTACAAGCCAGCCAGGAAAAGCTTCGACGAATTGAATGCCAACATGAAAGAGGTATGCCGAAAGGCCGCCAAAGCTGTTGAAGAGAGCAGGAATATACATGGTAATGTATTGTTGGAGATTCGCATCTAATTGGAATATGTTTGGACCATAATGGCGAGGCGTTTAGTAGGAAGCGTGTCTTTCTTCGCCGTCTTAAAAACTCGAGACGATGAACCGACGGTCGTCAGTATCGCGACCTCCAGGGCTGCCTAATGGCGGAATATGAGGAGTTAGTCTAAGAGAATCATCATCATTCCCCTACCCTTCTCTCAGTTCCCTGGGGTCGGCCCAATATGTTTTCTCCCTCCATGGTCATCTATCATATACCGTTTCTTCGATCACTCCCCTCTTACACATATCGCCTTTGACGCAATCCATTCTTCTAAGGTCTACCTCTTCCTCTATAGTCTTCCACATTCATAGTTAACACTCTCTTACCAACCTCATTGTCTAGGAGCAAGTCTAAACTATCGTATGCAAAAACCTTGGATTTCAATTACTAAGAATAGGGAAATAACCTTTATAAATCAAGGTGATTCTTCCCACGCTTCGATTCGGAACGTATGACTACTTCGCGGCAGAAGTTAAGATTGTAGTGACTACGAACTGGTCCCAAATACTCTGGTAAAATTTATGTAATGTATTGTGGGGATTTATTGTCTTTATGTAACAGTAAGAGAAAACACGAAAGAGGATGCCGCAGCCACGTCTCTGATGCAGCAGTTGACACGACTCATGACGGACCTGGTGGATTATCAGGTGCAGCAGAGAACTTGCCAAAGTGAGTCTCGCAATCTGTGAAGATACAACTGTAAAGGGATGTGGAGTTCGGAGGCGCTCGGGCAGTTGTTAGCAAATCCCACCCCTCCTGGCTGAACCTTTGCTCGCCCACCTGTCCTGGTGAAACTGGAAAGGCCTCCGGGCCACCAGTAATCTTTTAATCATAAAAAGGATGTGATGATTAGTAAAAATATAAACAAGATTTAAAAATTAGTTTGCCAAAAGAAGTTTCATTTCTGACATGTGTACTTTGTATGCACACAATTTTTAACCTAATCTTATGTGGATAAGGATATGATGATCGCTGCTATCCATGTTAGGATCCAAATAGTTTTTTACTACGCATAGCCTCCTAGCCTCCTAGCCTAGCCGGAATGCACGAATGCTTTACGGCACAAATAGATGGTATTATGGTGGTGCAATAAAGTTAAGGGATTTAAGGCATGAAGCAGAATGAATTCGCTGCTAATTACCAAATGGATGGTGCCACTACTGATCAGATAACGGAATGTACATGGTACTAGTTTACCCGATCCTGTAGACCGAATGGTAAACAGTCGAGGTCGCCCAAAACACGTAATTACGGTTCCTTCCGATCCATTAACGGTACCTCAAGCACCGGTCACCGTCCTCGCTGAGCCCGTCGCTTGTGATGAAGGGCTCGACGAGTAAATTAACACAAACAAAGCCCACTGAGTTTCTCGCCGGATCTTCTCAGTGGGTCGCGTTTCCGACCCGGTGGTTGATTCTGCAAAGCACTGCTCTTGCTAGGGCCAGTATTAGCAACACTCCCGGTTAGAGCCCCGTGAGCTCACCTACACGTCAAAAAGAAGCTGAAATAGCCTGTCAAGGCTATTAGCATAGGTAGGGAAAAAAAGGTAATAGTAATTGGTGTTTTTTTTTTGTTTGACCAGAACTACCACCAGATCTTCGAAATTTTCTGGAATGGCTGACGTCTCCAAATAAAGATGCCGTTAGTTCAGAAGCCAGGAGGGGTTTCCTTAACGAAGATACCTTGGGACTGCCAAATAATGGTAAATAGTTTTGGATGGAAAGCTGATTTGAATTTAGATATAAAAATTCGATTAATTAATGTGGTAGACTAAAAAAATGGTGTGATATTTTTTTTATTGCTAAGATGTGGAGATGAGCTCCTGTCTTACCTGAGGCCCATGGACATCTACAACGCCAGTCACAGGTTTAACAGTACAACGTCTGCTTCACCCTTCAAACCGAAACGCATTACTGCTTCACGGCAGAAATAGGCAGCGCGGTGGTACCTACCCGTGCGGACTGGCAATACGTCTTACCACCAGTGATTACGCAAATTATAATTTTGCACGTTTGATTCTTATTACACGATGTTATTCCTTCACCGTAGAAGTCAATCGTGAACATCTGTTAAGTGTATTTTATGAAAAAAGTTGGCCAGGAGATGTGCTGTGAATACTCCTGCTAATTTTTAGCAAATAACCGAATAGTGGACTAGTGTTTTGTTGCTTTACAACAAGCAAAGACAGATTAGATCGTATGTGACTGACTGAAATCATGTTTTATCCAGAAAATGCACAGGAAATATATCCAGATTTCATGATGACGTCATCAAGTGAAAAGGATCAATCTGAGCAGAGATCTGACTGCCTTGGGACTCTTCGTGCTGTACAGGATTTGATTAACCAGTATGATGGAATGACTGACGAAGATAAGGTATAGTCGATTGATTTTGGTATTCAGGTTAAAGATTATTACGCTTATTGAATTAAAAATGATAATGCATTGGGTGCGAAATGCGTCTTAAATCTCACTATAGAATCTAGATAGCCCAGAGAGAATTGTTTTAAATACAAATATCCAGGTTCACTTGTATAAGTACTTTTGGTAGGCAAGGCGTTTTGTAAATATTCGCGAGAAGGTGCTATCATTCTGTTTACTTCTGCGATGAATCATGCTCTGCCTTTTGAAGCTTTGGCAGATGTCACGTCTTTGTCAGAATAAGACACGTGTTCAGTTAAGATACTAACGTGTATTGGGATCACAACCTAATGTACTATCGACAGCCCGACAATTCCGAGACCGACGTAGCATTACTGCTATATAATTATCGCTAACACATACATATAATTATTAGTCGCTATGGGGACGCTTGTGGTCCCTACACTCTACAATACAATTGTGATTAGAACTTCGTGCTCTGAGTTGGCTTACAATATGATATCTTTGAACTACGGTAACCTTTCAACTAGGTGAACAAAGGCTGATTGATGTAGTCGGGCGATCTGCTCTTTGATTACGTAAAAAGAGCTCTTCTTTCCATTTCAGAGCAAGATGTCTGGCGTACGGGAATACTTAGAAAGTCAAGTCAATTTTCTTCAACAAAGAATGTCTTCCTATGCTATCAGCAATGTTAGTATACAAATTAGGGAAGCGTACCTTTAGGAGGTCAGACTCAGAGGTCAGATGGAATTACTTGCCTTGGTGGCAGGAACACTTTTGGTTTTATTAATTCGGTACCCCGATCTAGATGACGGCAGCGTGATGGGAATGTACTTAATATTATGAGACACTTTGACCGGAATAACGACATTTTGTTGTGTTTAGTTGTGTTATGAGGCCAATTGGATCTGCCTATTCCTGATCAGAAGCCAAGAATTCCAAGGGCTTGAAGATTGAGACAGCTGCGACACAATTTTTACTGGTGGTAGGACCTCTTGTGAGTCCGCGCGGGTAGGTACCACCGCCCTGCCTATTTCTGCCGCAAAGCAGTAATGCGTTTCGATTTGCAGGGTGGGGCAGCCGTTGTAACTATACTGAGATCTTAGAACTAATATCTCAAGGTGGGTGGCGCATTTACGTTGTAGATGTCTGTGGGCTCCAGTAACCACTTAACACCAGGTGGGCTGTGAGCTCGTCCACCCATCTAAGCAATAAAAAAAAAGAATCACACTTCGAACTCATCAAGACCTATTACCACTAATTTGGCCAAAGTTGGTATGCTTTGTTTTTTAACTGAATGAAACTTGTTTCCATTTCCTACTACAGGTTGACAGTCAGAATTATTTACGTTACAAGAGGACGATAGGCATGAAGCCGAAACCAATGAAGCGTTTGAAAAAGCGGAACCTGTCCAAATTCATTAGGAATTTCGGGAAAAAGCACACGAAAGCAACGACAGATTGCAACGAAGAGGCTCAGGTCACAGATCCAGCTCAACGCGTGAACGGGAAAGACGTGTCGAAGAAGTTGTCTGACAAGAAGCCAAGAACGAAAAGAAACCTCAGGGACATTTATTACAGGGCATTGGCTGACGCAAAAAAGATGACGACGGTCAGAAAAGTCCCGTACGATGGAGAGATCGGCCAAGTGTCGCAGTAGCTACAGCAATTATGGGTAGTAGCTAAGTTTGTTTGACATTTTGAACATAAAACAACATTTTTATTAGCGCATTTTAATGTATTTGTTATTTTGATTAAGGTTTTTATAGAATAGTTGTACATTTGATTCTAATATATTATTTGGTTGTTGATTTTTTTAAAACCCCTTTGACTAAATCTTTTCTATACTTTTTTATGGTTCAAAAGACTGAACGGCCCTTTATGGAAAAAATGGGGAGAATCGTGGTATCCACTCGTACAGGCGTTTACTGGTGGTAGAACCTCTTGTGAGTCCGCGCGGGTAGGTACCACCGCCTCGCCTATTACTGCTTCACGGCAGAAGGTTGGGGCACCCTTTTTACATATACTGAGACCTTAGAACTTATATCTCAAGGTGGGTTAATCTCAGGTAGGCCGTGAGATCGTCCACCCATCTAAGCAATAAAAAAATAAAAAAACCGTGGTATCCACTAGCAGAAGGAGCCTCCTTCTGCTGAGGCGGCATCGTCAGTTCTGAAAGCCGTGTCTAATTTGGAGACTGTTCTTTGTCTACTCATTGTGTAATAGTTCTCCACTTGTCCCTAACTTCGGCAGTCTTAGTGTTTCGGGTATAGGCATGCCGATTAGAAATACAATCAGTTTTAACCAACGGGTTGATGATTGACCAAGTGGTATTTTCCATCGAAGTGGCCTACTGCTATCGGCTTTTGGAGATTATCTGGATTTCTGCGACCATACTGGCTTAAAATATACTATGTAACTATACTGAGACCTTAGAACTTATATCTTAAGGTGGATGGCGCATTTACGTTGTAGATGTCTGTGGGCTCCGGTAACCACTTAGCACCAGGTGGGCCGTGAGCTCGTCCATTCATCTAAGCAATAAATATAAAAGTGCAATAATGGAATAGTCTTATTTTATGGTCCGCGATCCCAATTCTAGATACATAAATGTAGTAAGACAAAGAGCAAACAAATATGTACGTCAGACGAACAAAGCCCCTGCTAAAATATTAAGGAATGAGTATTACAGAAACTACGTGCACTGACCAGCCTTCCCGATGTAGCTACAATGAGCTACACACAGCCGACGCTACAGACGGAACTCAGTTAATAAAACAAATATACAACCCTGCATTTTATTACTCAAAGCCAGGGCTGGAGAGAGTCAGAATTTTCGTGCAATTTTACAATATTTCATATTTCGACATACGAAGCGGTAATATTACGCTAAGGCAGGATAATGTTTATAATTTTGAGTTCTAAAATAACGTGATTTTTATTTTTATTTTTTTTATTGCTTAGATGGGTGGACGAGCTCACAGTCCACCTGGTTTTAAATGGTTACTGGTCTACAACGTAAATGCGCCACCCACCTTGAGATATAAGTTCTAAGGTCTCAGTATGGTTACACCGGCTGCCACATCCTTCAAACCGAAACGCATCACGGCAGAAATAGGCAGGGTGGTGGTACCCACCCGCGCAGACTCACAAGAGGTCCTACCACCAGTATAAGTTGTATTGGTCTAAGTTTATATAGCCTATAGCCTTCCTCAATAAATGGGCTATCTAACACTGAACGAATTTTTCAAATCGGTCCGAACCGAAACGCATTGCTGCTGCACGGCAGGAATAGGCAGGGCAGTGGTACCTACCCGTGCGGACTCACAATACGTCCTACCACCAGTAATTTGAATGTTGTTTCGGTTAAAAGCTCGAAAAAGCTTTAATTCATTGCTTTAACATCCTTAACCAACTTGTACAGACTTCCAGACCAATAAAAGGTTAAATTCTTAACAGATGTAGTTTCGGTTTATTACCAATCCTAATAATATTTCGTTTTGAGTTTGATGGGTCGGAAAATTGAAATTTAAAATTTTAATGTAGCTTGGACTACACGGTTCACAGCGATACAGGTAGTGTGTGGATACTCCTGTCAACGAACCTCCCGATCCACTAACGGTGCTTTTAGGTACCTCAAGCACCGGTCACCGTCCTCGCCGAACCCGTCGCTTGGGACGAAGGGCTCGACGAGTAAATTAACCCTCAGACACAGCCCACTGAGTTTCTCGCCGGATCTTCTCAGTGGGTCGCGTTTCCGATCCGGTGCGGTAGATCCTGCGAAGCACTGATCTTCCTAGGGTTAGTGTTAGCAACGTCGTCAGGTTTGAGCCCCGTGAGCTCATCTACTTGTTAGGCTTACTCTGAAATGGCCTCTCAAGGCCATCAGCTTAGGTAGGAACAAAAAAAAGTCAACAAACTATAACTATGCGATGCGTTATGGCAATTGAGCGTGGACTCTATTTATTGTTTTGAGATATTAATTATATCTTTATACTAGCTTTTGCCCGCGACTCCGTCCGCGTGGAATAATTACTTTGGCATAACGCTAAAATGTTACCCCCCCACTTCATTTACGTAGAAAGTGAAAATATTTTTTAATTATAGAATGTTAAGGAGCTATAAGCCTCTATTTTGAAACATTCTTTATTGGTTTCTTTTTAATTGCTAGATGAGTGGAAGAGCTCACAGCCCACCTGGTGTTAAGTGGTTACTGGAGCCCATGGACATTTACGACGTAAATGCGCCACCCACCTTGAGATATAAGTTCTAAGGTCTCAAGTATAGTTACAACGGCTGCCCCACCCTTTAAACCGAAACGCATCACGGCAGAAATAGGCAGGGTGGTGGTACCCACCCGCGCGGACTCACAAGAGGTCCTACCACCAGTATAAGTTGTATTGGTCTAAGCTTATATAGCCTATAGCCTTTCTCAATAAATGGGCTATCTAACACTGAAAAAATTTTTCAAATCGGTCCAGTAGTTCCTGAGATTAGCGCGTTCAAACAAACAAACTCTTAAGCGTAATAATATTTATCTTTACATGACAAATTAAAGACTTAAGAGAAAATTAAATGTAAAATTGATGCGTTGCTCTTGGCAGTTGGATTTGAAAGGGGATTTGTTGGAGTTTGTATATTAAATGTAATGGCCGGCAACACTTGACACTTGATTAGATTTCGAATATTGGAATTATTTTAAATGTTTAAAAAAACAGATCATTGTATTCTCGTCAGAAAATGTCAGTACTTCTCATCTAGACACGGCAAGAGAAACATGAAATAGTTTTATAAAAAATATAAAGATAATAATTGTATAATGGTGTAAAAGTGTTCGAGCAATCTGCAATATAATTATAATGAAGCAGTTGTGTTTTTAAATAGCCCCTCATCACCTACAGAACCCAATCCCCTCAAATTTAACCGTCCAACAGGATTGGTGTCATGGCGGACGTCGCTCTCTGACATTTTGACGTTCAGAAACTGAACACTATATACATGGAATAAGTGAAATTTTTAATTGAGAAAATTTCTTGATGCGTCTACAATATTATTACGGGTATCTTCTGAACGGGGCACTGAACTTTTTGGAGGGAGAATTTATGTGAATTTATTTTTATGTTGTTAAGTGTTTCTTTAGTTTTAACCCCATTTAGCGTCCACAAATGTGAGAAAAAGAAAAAATTCACGGGATATTCTCGGGATCTTCCGAAAAGTCCACTCAAGAGTCCCAAATTTATCTCAAATTTACCGAGATCAAATATAATTTCATTTAAATCTCTACGAGCTAATTACGACTTCAGATAGATTGACTTAATTTCATTCCGTTGCTATTATTTTAATTAAAAGGGTATGTTTGCAATATATAATTTTCTTATATTCTCGAAACTGATAACATTGGCATCGCAAGAAGTCGGTTACCATGCTGAATAAAGAAAACTACTGTACTGAGAAAGTCGAGAAAATTCCTAGACCTATATATATTTTTGTTAAAAAAAAAAACTTTAACAATTACATGACATTTGGCGCGAAATTTAAATTTGAGTTTTAACAATAACACTATGACGCGCTGTTCTCACTCGACTATAGCGTTGTTTTTTTATAAGTTATACGGTTTTGATTTGAAATATAATTTTAAAGATGATTTTGCAGATTTTTAAAAATTCATAATAAACTACGTGTGTTTGCAATAACATCGTTCAGCATGTCGACGCCATTTTGTCGTTCAGTGTCTGTAATGGCGCGATCGCTTTTATAGTGTGACAATGCATTAATGAAAAAACAACAATTTTAATATTTTTACGCTTGTAGGCAGATGAGCACACGGCCCAGCTGATGGTGAGTGGTCACCGTCGCTAATGGACGTCAGCAATGCCAGGGGTAAAGCTGATCAGCTGCCTACTGTTAAGTACTTTCCACAAGCCTCTTTTAAAGAAGGACATGTCATAGCGCTCGGGAAACACCGTGGAGGGGAGCTCATTCCATAGCCGGATGGTACGTGGCAAAAAAGACCTCTGGAAACGCACTGTGGATGACCGCAGTGGCTCCAGGTAGTATGGATGAACTCTACTCCGGTGGCGGGCGGTGCGATGGTAAAAACGAGATGCCGGTATCATCTCGAACAATTCNACATGAAAAAAAAAAAAAAAAAAAAAAAAAAAAAAATACAAATGTGATTAGAACTTCGTACTCTGAGTTGGCTTACATTATGATATCTTTGAACTACGATAACCAGGTGAAAAAGTACTGATTGATGTACTCGGGCGATTTGCTCTTTGATTACGTAAAAAGAGCTCTTCTTTCCATTTCAGAGCAAGATGTCTGGCGTACGGGAATACTTAGAAAGTCAAGTCAATTTTCTTCAACAAAGAATGTCTTCCTATGCTATCAGCAATGTTAGTATACAAATTAGAGAAGCGTACCTTTAGGAGGTCAGACTCAGAAGTCAGTTGGAATTACTTGCCTTGCTGGCAGGAACACTTTTGGTTTTATTGATTCGGTACCCCGATCTAGATGATGGCAGCGTGATGGGAATGTACTTAATATTATGAGACACTCCGACCGGAATAACAAACAACATTTTGTTGTGTTTAGTTGTGTTATGAGGCCAATTGGATCTGCCTATTCCTGATCAGAAGCCAAGAATTCCAAGGGCTTGAAGATTGAGACAGCTGCGACACAATTTTTACTGGTGGCAGGACCTCTTGTGAGTCCGCGCGGGTAGGTACCACCACCCTGCCTATTTCTGCCGTGAAGCAGTAATGCGTTTCAATTTGAAGGGTGGGGCAGCCGTTGTAACTATACTGAGATCTTAGAACTAATATCTCAAGGTGGGTGGCGCATTTACGTTGTAGATGTCTGTGGGCTCCAGTAACCATTTAACACCAGGTGGGCTGTGATCTCGTCCACCCATCTAAGCAACAACAAAAAAAAACTACGATTCGGACTAATTAAGACCTATTATTACCACTAATTTGGCCAAAGTGGGTATGCGTTGTTTTTTTAAATTGAAACTTGTTTCCATTTCCTACTACAGGTTGATAGTCAGAGCTATTTACGTTACAAGAGGACGATAGGCATGAAGCCGAAACCAATGAAGCGTTTGAAAAAGCGGAACCTGTCCAAATTCATTAGGAATTTCGGGAAAAAGCACACGAAAGCTACGACAGACTGCAACGAAGAGGCTCAGGTCACAGACCCCGCTCAACGCGTGAACGGGAAAGACGTGTCGAAGAAGTTGTCTGACAAGAAGCGAAGAACGAAAAGAAACCTCAGGGACATTTATTACAGGGCATTGGCTGACGCAAAAAAGATGACGACGGTCAGAAAAGTCCCGTACGATGGAGAGATCGGCCAAGTGTCGCAGTAGCTACAGCAATTATGGATAGTGGCTAAGTTTGTTTGACATTTTAAACATAAAACAACATTTTTATTAGCGCATTTTAATGTATTTGTTATTTTGATTAAGGTTTTTATAGAATAGTTGTACATTTGATTCTAATATATTATTTGGTTGTTGATTTTTTTAAAGCCCCTTTGTTTAAATCTTTTCTATACTTTTGTATGGTTCAAAAGACTGAACGGCCCTTTATAGAAAAAATGGGGAGAATCGTGATATCCACTCGTACAGGCGTTTACTGGTGGTACAACCTCTTGTGAGTCCGTGCGGGAGGTACCACCACCCCGCCTATTTCTGCCGTGAAGCAGTAATGCGTTTCGGTTTGAAGGACGGGGCAGCCGTTGTAACTATACTTGAGACCTTACAACTTATAAGGTGGGTGGCGCATTTACGTTGTGGATGTCTATGGGCTCCAGTAACCACTTAACATTAGGTGGACTGTGAGTTCGTCCACCCATCTAAGCAATAAAAAAATAAAAAAAACCGTGGTATCCACTAGCAGAAGAAGCCTCCTTCTGCTGAGGCGGCATAGTCAGTTCTCAAAGCCGCGTCTAAGTTGGAGACTGTTCTTTGTCTACTCATTGTGTAATAGTTCTCCACTTGTCCCTAACTTCGGTAGTCTTAGTGTTTCGGGTATAGGCATGCCGATTAGAGATGCAATCAGTTTTGACCAACAGGCAGGTGATTAACCACGTAGTCTTTTCCATCGAAGTGGTCTACTGCTATCGGCTTTTAGAGATTATCTGGATTTCTGCGACCATACTGCCTTAAAATATACTATGTAACTATACTGAGACCTTAGAACTTATATCATAAGGTGGATGGCGCATTTATGTTGTAGATGTCTGTGCGCTCCGGTAACCACTTAACACCAGGTGGGCCGAGAACTCGTCCAATCATCTAAGCAATAAATATAATAAAAGTGCAATAATCGAATAGTCTTATTTTATGGTCCGCGATCCCAATTCTAGATACATAAATGTAGTAAGACAAAGAGCAAACAAATATGTACGTCAGACGAACAAAGCCCCTGCTAAAATATTAAGGAATGAGTATTACAGAAACTACGTGCACTGACCAGCCTTCCCGATGTAGCTACAATGAGCTACACACAGCCGACGCTACAGACGGAACACAGTTAATAAAACAAATATACAACCCTGCATTTTATTACTCAAAGCCAGGGCTGGAGAGAGTCTGAATTTTCGTGCTGTTTTACAATATTTCATATTTCGATATACGAAGCGGTAATATTACGCTAAGGCAGGATAATGTTTATAATTTTGAGTTCTAAAATAACGTGTTTTTTTTTTTTATTGCTTAGATGTGTGGGCAAGCTCACAGTCCACCTGGTGTTAAGTGGTCACTGGAGCACATAGACATCTACAACGTAAATGCGACACCCACCTTGAGATATAAGTTCTAAGGTCTCAGTATAGTTACAACGGCTGCCCCACCCTTCAAACGGAAACGCATTGCTGCTTCACGGGATAAATAGGCAGGGCGGTGGTACCTACCCGTGCGGACTCACAATACGTCCTACCACCAGTAATTTTAATGTTATTCCGGTTAAAAGCTCGAAAAAGCTTTAATTCATTGCTTTAACATCCTTAACCAACTTGTACAGACTTCCAGACCAATAAAAGGTTAAATTCTTAACAGATGTAGTTTCGTTTTTATTATCAATCCTAATAACATTTCGTTTTAGGTTTGATGGGTCGGAAAATTGAAATTTAAAATTTTAATGTAGCTTGGACTACACGGTTCACAGCGATACATGTAGGGTGTGGATACTCCTGTCAACGAACCTCCCGATCCACTAACGGAGCTTTTAGGTACCTCAAGCACCGGTCATCGTTCTCGCCGAACTCGTCGCTTGGGACGAAGGACTCGACGAGTAAGTTAACCCACAGACACTGCCCACTGAGTTTCTCGCCGGATCTTCTCAGTGGGTCGCGTCTCCGACCCGGTGTGGTAGATTCTACGAAGCACTGCTCTTCCTAGGGCTAGTGTTAACGTCGGTAGGCAGCGGCTTGGCTCTGCCCCTGGCATTGCTGAAGTCCAAGGGCGACGGTAACTTACCATCCACCACCACTTACCATCAGGTGAGCCGTATCCTTGTCACTACAAGGGTAATAAAAAAAAAAACGTCAAGTTTGCGCCCCGTGAGCTCACCTATTTGTTTTTATTTTGTTAATTAAATGTTTCTTTAGTTTTAAATGTGTGATAACGGCGGCTTATTAACCGTTTAGCGTCCACAAATATGAGAAAATGAAAAAAATCACGGGATGTTCTCGGGATCTTCCAAAAAGTCCACTCAAGAGTCCCAAATTTATCTCAAATTTACCGAGATCAAATTTCATTTCATTTAAATCCCTACGAATTAATTACGAATTCAGATAGATTGACTTCATTTCATTCCGTTGCTATTATCTATATATTAATACGTGAAGCAAAAACTTTGTATCCCTTTTTACGAAAATTGCGCGGACGGGGGAGTATGAAATTTTCTACACTTATAGAGAACATAGAGAAGAAGTGCACAATGCAATTTTTTTTTTTTAATAATGCATAAAAGATACATTAAATCAATAAAGAAAACATTACACACACTACATACCATGTATTTGACGCACACACGCATGCATACTATTTATTGTCAAACTTTTGTTCTTGACGTCTGTTGTCAAACTGAGAATAGATTAAATATTGTTTGTCTTTATTAATATTTTTTTATAGTGTAGCCTTGGCGAAATTTGTTATTATAGAAGTATAAAATACAATCATAATAGTGTACAAACTTACAATTCCAATTAATTATAGTCGAATTACGACTACTGCAGGACCTCTAGTTTTAATTAAAAGGGTATGTTTGCAATATATATTTTTCTTATATTCTCGAAACTGATGACATTGGAATCGCAAGAAGTCGTTTACCATGCTGAATAAAGAAAATTACTGTACTGAGAAAGTCGAGAAAATTCCTAGACCTAAATATACTTTTCTTAAAAAAAAACTTCAACAATTAGATGACATTTGGCGCGAAATTTAAATTTGAGTTTTAACAATAACACTATGACGCGCTGTTCTTACTCGACTATAGTGTTGTTTATTACAAATATACGGTTTTGATTTGAAATATAATTTTAAAGTTGATGTTTCAGACAAAATTTTAAAAATTTATAATAAACTACGTGTGTTTGCAATAACATCGTTCAACATGTCGACGCCATTTTGTCGTTCAGTGTCTGTAATGGCGCGATCGCTTTTATAGTGTGACAATGCATTAATGAAAAAACAGCAATTTTAATATTTTTACGATTTTTTTGCGCTTGTAGGCAGACGAGCACACGGCCCAGCTGATGGTGAGTGGTTACCGTCGCCCATGGACTTCAGCAATGCCAGGGGTAGAGCTGATCAGCTGCCTACTGTTAAGTACTTTCCACGAGTCTCGCCATGCCATCACAATGCCGCCACCCACCTTGAGATATGAGTTCTAAGGTCTCAGTATAATTATAACGGCTGCCACACCCTTCAAACCGAAACGCATTACTGCTTCGGTAGGTGGAGTGGTGGTACCTATCCGTGCGGACTCACAAGAGATCCTACCACCAGTAATTACGCAAATTATAATTTTGCGGGTTTGATTTTTATTACACGATGTTATTCCTTCACCGTGGAAATCAATCGTGAACATTTGCCCAGTACCTACTTCATTAGAAAAATTGTTTCCTTATTGTTACGCATGTCAACAACTGTTTAAGATGGTATTCAAAAGAATTCATGACTAAGCTACTCCCAATATATATACTATAAATACGAGTGACTATTATAATAGTCGAACCAGCGACGCTGACATCATCATTTTAAAAACACCATGTAACCAGCCTCACCGTCATTTACAATATTGCTGGTGACATTTAAGCTGTAATTATAATTCAATAATTTATCGGATAATAATAATAATTCGTACATTCAGATACACATTTAAGTCAAAATTAAATTACAAATACATAGGTGCATATAGAAAATAAAATTAGACCATTGCAGCGTTCAAGAAATCTGTTAAAGAACACCATTTATCCTTACCATATTAAATAAAAGTATATATTATATTTGTATAATGTATTATAATATAATGTAAGTATGTTTTTTTTTTTATTGCCTTTATAGGAAGACGAGCATACGGCCCACCTGATGGTGAGTGGTTACCGTCGCCCATGGACTTCAGCAATGCCAAGGGCAGAGCCAAGCCGCTGCCTACCGAAAATATATGTGTATATATATATATATATATGTATAATAATATATGTGTGTGTGTGTGTGACTATTCAGGGCCCGACCACTTAACGTTAAGCCGGCCGTGAGCTCGTTCATGCAGTGCAATAAAAATTTCCCCTCCCTGCGTCGTATTCCTCAATGCTGAGAGACGTGAACACCCTCCTCTCGCACTTCCTCTCATTCTCTAAAAACCAAAAATATAATTTCGTATAATTGTTAGCGCCCATGGTCACCCTACGGTCCGCCATTTTGATTTATCTTTATGTAACGTTAAGCCGCTTAAACTCTTTAAGGCCCACACATTATTCTTTGAGTTTAATTTTGTAGTTCAAACATTAGAGATTTTTCAATTTTCTAAAACGGTATTTCTAGACTTAGAAAATTGCCACTTACACAGAGATTGGGAAAATATATGAGACTAAAATATCAAATCGATTGAGACTATTATTTTGGATACTTATTAAAAAAGAAAATACTGAACACATTTTTTTAATTATCTGTAAGTTTTACTATCTAATATGAGCTATGCTGGCTATTTAAAAAAAACCTACCTATGCTGATAGCCTTGAGAGGCCATTTCAGCTTTGCATGTAGGTGAGCCCACGGGGCTCAAACCGGAGTGTTGCTAACACTGAGAAGATCCGGCGAGAAACTCAGTGGGCTGTGTCTGTGGGTTAATTCGCTCGTCG